CGGCGCGTCGGCGCGCCTGGCCGAGGGCGTCGCCCCGCGCGGCCGGCTGCTGCTGCAGGTGCACGACGAGCTCGTCTTCGAGGTGGAGGAGGGCGGCGCGGCCGCGCTGCGCGACGCCGTGACCAAGGCGATGGTGCACGACGCGGCCATGCTCAAGGTGCCGCTGCGCATCGTCATCAAGCAGGGCCCCTCCCTTGGCCAGCTCGAGACGGAGTCTGACAATCTGACGCAGACGCAGTGGGCGGGGCACTGATGCATGCTGGAGCCACCACTGCACCTCGCTCCTCTTGCCCGGGTCGAGCGCGCGTGGGGAGAGAGAGGAACTGGAGGGGAAGGGGGGAGGTACGTTTTTATCGTCATGTCTGGCACTCTGGGTTGCCCCTTGCAGGCACGCAGCTCGCAGGCAGGGTACCGCGTACGGCATATGTTCTGGTCGATGTTCTGGGGGGGGGTGCGTACTGCATATATTCTGTGGAGCTGTTCTTATGACGGTGTGCTAGGAAACAGGAAACTCTCAACACTCCCATGGGATCGGGATTTCTTTTTTCGTTCGAGCTCGCGCCGGCCTGCGCGCTGCGCCTGCGGGGTGTGCGTGTGGTCGAGCGTGCATGGAGCTAAAGTGTCCCCGCTCGCCGCCCTCGCGCGCCTCGCCTCGCGGCCGGCAGGACCTAAAGAAAAAGAATTCCTTGTACCAACGCTCCGATCCAGGGTTTGCTCGCGGTTGGCTCGTCTCGTCGCCTACCTCGATCAGCCGCTCTCCGCGCCATGATTGCAGTAGCGTCCTGGTCGCTCGTTGGCGTGGCTGCGTTCGCGAGCACGGCGTCAGCTCCGAAGAGGGTGGGAGTGGTGATTGCCAACGGATTTGAGATGCTCGATGCGATCGGCCCCTTCGAGGTCTTCAAGGAGATCGAGAAAACATACTTTGCTCACGTGAACCTGGCGTCCCAGACCTGGAGTGACACCGCCTTGCAGCCTGGGATCCAATGCTCCGCGGACGGCGGACCTCCGTTGCACGTTGAGGTGGAGATGGTCGCCGACTCGCTGACGCCCGTGACCTCCCTAAGCGGCGTGACCATTACACCGACGTATGATCTGAAGGAAGATCCGGAAGCAAAGCGCTACGATCTCCTCGTGTTCGGCGCGCTGAGCTCCTCCAAGTACGAAGGCGCGCGCACCGAGTACAAAGACGGGCACACCCAGACGACGAAGGATTATCTCAAGGCGCACAACCGGCAGGGAAAAGATGTGATGACTGTCTGCATC